GGATATATATATATATATATATATATAGATAGATATATAGATAGATATATAGATAGATATATAGATAGATAGATAGATAGATAGATAGATAGATAGATAGATAGATAGATAGATAGATAGATAGATAGATAGATAGATAGATAGATAGATAGATAGATAGATAGATAGATAGATAGATAGATAGATAGATAGATAGATAGATAGATAGATAGATAGATAGATAGATAGATGCAGAGAGATGAAAAACTGTTAACATGGAATTGAAAAATGTTACACAGGCAGATTAAAAAAAAGTTTTTAGCGATAACCACTTGAGTGAAGAGACTTTACAAGGAATATATACACAAAAAGACATTGTGTACTTATGAATAAACAATCACTGAAATCTTCCACTCACGATAATAAATCTAATTTGATTAGATACTGTACATTCAATATGAACAATTTCCTCTGAATTTGATTAAAAAATATGTTCATAATAATTGTGAAAGCATGTGCCGGTACTTTTCCATTAACCTCTTTCATTGGAAATGTGCATGTTGAAAGGAAGTAAAGGAAATGACGTGAAAGGACATGAAGAGTTTTTCTTTCCTGAAAAGAGGGGAGGGAATTTTGGTGTTTTCTTGAGAAGATAAGAATTTCAAATAATTATTTTAGGTTTTGTGAATGGACTCACCACTTACTAAATGAGGAAACTCCCAGACCATAGTATTTGAACCAGCGTGAAAAATGGTCCTTTCAAAATGCAAAACATCAAACTATATTCACAAGAAATAAGAACGTGAATTATTTATTGAGCTACGGACCTGTTAACTATGAGGTTGAAAATATATTTTAGGATAATTATAGGTTGTATTAATACTATACAAAAATACATAGTTAAAGGACAATAACACCCCTTTAAAACAGCACTGTATATTAGAGGAGGAACAAAACATGTGGTGCTAACTATAATTTCAGGTCGTCTTTGGTACAGCAGTAGAAAGAAGAAATGCCAAACACTAGTACTTTATTACTTTTATTCATAGGGACAGTACCCTACAAGCAACAGAGATCATCCATCCATCCATCCATCCATCCATCCATCATCTTCTGCTAATTCCGAAGTCAGGTCATGGGAGCAGCAGCTTGGGCAGGGAGGTCCAGACATCTCTTTCCACAACCACCTCTTCCAGCTCTTCTGTGAGTATTCCAAAGTGTTCCCAGGCCAATCAAAGATCATACCATAGTCTCGCCAGTGTGTCCTGGGTCTTGCCCGGGGTCTCCTCCCAGCCGGACATTACCAAAGAACCTGCCTAGGAAAGTGCCTGGGAAGCATCATTTCCAGCTGCCCAAACCACCTCAGCTGGCTAGTTTTAATGTGGAGGAGCAACCGTTTAGTCTCTCCCGCATAAGTGAACTTCTCAACTTATCTCTAAGGGAAAATCCAGCTACCCTACAGAGGAAACTCATTTCAACCGCCATTATCCACAATCTCATTCTTTCGGTCACTGCCCAGCGTTTGTGGCCATAGGTGAGGGTAGGAATGTAGACCGAGTGGTAAACAGAGAACTTTGTCTTACAGATCAGCTCCCTCTTCACCACAGCAGACAGGCAGAGTCCAAATACTGCAGATGCTGCACAAGTCCAACTGTCCATCTCACGCTTCATTCTTCCCTCGCTTGTGAACAAAACCCTGAGATACTTGAACTCCTCCATTTGAGTCAGAACCTCACCCAATAAAGGTTGAATGAATGAATGAATGAATGAATGAATGAATGAATGAATGAACGAACGAACGAATGAATGAATGAAGAGAGCAATCCACCCATGGCCTCAGATTTGGAGGTGTTACTTCTCATCACAGCTGCTTCACATTTGGCTGCGAACTGCTCCAGTGGAAGCTGGAGATCACGGCACGATGACGCCAACAGGACCACATCATCTGCAAAGAGCGGAGATGGAATCCTGAGGCCACTGGACCGGACTCCCTCCGCCCCCCTGACTGCACAGAGAAATTATGTCCTTAAAAGTTATTAACAGAATCGTGACATCAGGCAGCCATGGCAGGGTCAAAGTCCCACCATGAAGGGGTCCAACTTACTATCAGCAATGTGAACCAAACTCTCTCATTGCTTGTATAAGGATTGAAGAGCCCGTAACAACGGGCCCCCAATCCCATACTCACAGAGCACCCTCTACAACGTACCCTGACGAACACGGTCGAAAAACGTCTCCAAGTCCACAAAACACATGTAAACTGGATGGACAAACTCCCATGACCCCTCGAGGACCCAAGTGAGGGTAAAGAGTTGATCCAGTGTTCCACGGCCAGGACAGAACCCGCATTGTTCCCACTCTGATCTGTCTGGATTTTTGTACACTGAAATGAGAAAATAGCTCTAAATGTCCGGTAATACTTTCCCATGGACTTAAAAGATTTAAAAAAGTGCAAGTAAAAAGGAAAGTAGGTCTAAGAAAGACTGAAAGTAAACAGAAACTGAAAAAAAAAAAATAGAAATAAAAACAAACTCAAATCTCGCAGATGGAAATCAACATACGTCACCTGCAGAGGTGGTGGTGGTTGTCGGGGTGGGGTTACAGTTGTTGTTATCACCTACTGCTTCTAATTAGAGACCTTATAGGTTTTACTTTGTCTCCATGGACAAATGGACTTTTTAACTTTTTTTTATTGTGTTTTTTTTTTTGTATGTTTGACTCAGAGTTCTCTGAATTCATTTAGACTGAACAAGTCAAAGAAATGGATTAGGTGGCAAAGTATAATCAGCTGAAGTTCAGAGGTTTTGCAGTTTTATCTTCTTCTTTCAGCTGCTCCCTCTTCAGGAGTTTCTAAGTGAATCATCCGTCTCTCTGTCCTCACTCCAACTACCTCCATGTCCTCTCTAACTGCATCCATGTATCTCCTCTGTCTGTTTCCTGGCAGCTGCATTTCTAACATCCTTCTACTAATATACCTACTGTCCCTCCTCTGGACATGTCCAAACCATCTCAGTCTCCCAGCTGTTCAACCTGTGCTGTATCTCTGATGATTTCATCCCTAATCTCATCCATCCTTGTCTCGCCCAAGAAGAACCTGAACATTTTCATTTCTGCCACTTCCAGTTCTGTCTCCTGTCTTTTTGTAACGGACCATAAAACCCTTAAAATTGTTGACTTAGTTTATCAGTAATATCTGTAATACCTGCAGGTCACACCTTTTCTTTCTCCATTATGAGTCAAAAGGTGTGTGCGGTGCCAGTAAAGATTGTTTTATGTAACAGAAACGGGAGAGGCTGGTCGAGTTGATCCTTTGGTTTAGTCAAAAAGAAAACTGGATGGAGGAAACCTCCTGCTGATGCAGGCAGGAGTTTCCCCTGGCTCAATGACAAACAGAGCAAAGGGCAACAACTTCAAGGTTATAAAATGTTGCACTTATAAAAATAATACATTTTAGATTTGTGTGAAATTTGTGTTTTGAACTATTAAATAAAAAATGTTTAAACATCTTCAAAGATGAGTAAAACACAGCATGTCATAGGGGCTATAATCTATTTTTGATGCATTTCAATGCAGACATGAATCAATTTTAAAACTTCAATAACTTTATCTTTCTTAATGCTTATAATGCTGTAACTTGCGGAGCACTAAAGCTGGACCTCTGAAGTCCATCACCGGACAGTTTATGGCACATACACAACAGAAGCACTCCATACGAACAGCATGTTCTCTGCTGAAAGCCGGTGTTTGGACGTTCGTTGGTTTCCTTGAACTTAAAAAAGGAAGCTGACATTCACAACAGCCGTCTATACTGAACCTGGGTTCACGTTTTCAGGAGGAAACGCTGTCGCTGACACATCTAACAGTGTCTCACTGGGCTGCAAGTGAATTTTAGATAGCAAACATTTGCAGCTCACGGCTTCCTGCTTCATTAATTGGACTGTGGTGGAAAACTTTCCTATTTTTGATTTAATCGCCTCCAACAGACGCAGCCCAGTTGCAGCTGCAGTCAATCATGATCATTCCATGTGAACAACTTAAAAAGCATTAACTTTCACTGTACTAAAGCTGTAAAATGGCTCTCCCTGCTGGAAGAAAATGAAAAGTTGAACTCACGTTGCAGAATTCACTGTTGTCTGGCCTGTGAGGAATGATGAAGGAAAAGACCTTTAATGCTCCATCACACTCCTCCACTGTCTGATTCACCTCCTGGCAACTCGTCACAATAGTGTAGAAGTGTGTGGGAACAGGTGGGGAGTCGACCGAGAACCTGAAAAAATACAATTAAATTAAAAAGGGTCATCTTCTTTTCCTCTGTAATTATAGTTTACTTCAGAAATCAGCTTATAAAGTTGTTTCTCCTGCTGATAAACATACAATTTCCTTCAACTAAAAATTTTTCCAGCATCAAAACATGTTGAAGCTGCTTTGGACTGAGCCTCCATCTAGTGGACAGACTGAAAAAAGACTGGAATTTAAGAAATACAAATAAAAGACAAAAGTCCCAGTCTCCATTGTGGCTTGTAAATAATATTTGTCTGGGATCAAACTAATTAATCTGTATCAAATTAAGTTTCTTTTTATTTTGTGATTCTGAAGTATATAAAAGATTGTCAGTTTAGCTGTTTTAATAATGTGAATGTTTATGAAGCATTCACTCTTCTGTGATCCAGGTTTCTTCCATATATTGTTCAGCATCTTTCTCAGTCCATAAGTTTTGTGCCATTACAACAAATCATAAATCAAAATGTTCAGCTCGTTCAGTTGACTCTGACTTTTGGTACTGGTGCAACTTTAGCTTTTTGAAATATGAGACTTTTTTTTGCCATATTTGTTTCTCTTGGAAAATGAATTGAGCTCATTTTACATCCTTCAGATCTTTAAATCTGTTTATAACCTTTTACTGCTCCTTTCACATTTTGTTCTGGTTCAGCTTCTTTCAACTTCTTTGTGCAAATTTAAACTTTTTCAGCTACTTTCATCTAATTTCAGCAGTTTTTTAAAGCTGTTTATGGCTTCTTTCAGATTCTTTTTTTTTTTTTCACATTTTTGCACTTTTTCCAACTTCTTTCTGCTAATTTCTTCTTGTTATGCTCCCTTCAGCTTCTGCAAGTTTCAGCTTTATCTGCTATTTCAGCTACTATTTAGCTGTTTTTATGCTAATTTTAATTATTTTCAGATAATTCCAGACAGTTTTGCACTCCTTTCATCCTTTTTCAGCCTAATTCAGTAAAAAAAATATGCTTTCTCCACTTCCTTCTAGTAATTTAAGGTTTTTTTTTCATCTTTTTAGCTAATTTTGAGCTATTTTTGCTCATTTCAGCTTTTTTTTTTCAGAAAGTGTCCACTATTTTGTGCTCATTTCTGCTTCTAGCAGCCTAATTGGGCAAACGTGTTCCTTCTGCTTTATTATGCTAATTTAAGCTTGTTTTACCCGTTCAGCTACCTTTATTTATTTATCTATTTAGAATGTTTAGCTACTTTTCATTCATTCGTTCTATTTATACAGGTTAGTCTCATTGAGCTTCAATGACTCATTTACAAGAGAGACCTGTTTAAAACAAAGAACACAGATGAGGTACAGACAACAATAGACAATCATATAAAATCATATGAAATGAAAAGTAAATAGAAGAGATGAAATAAAAATGAAACAAAAACAGCTGCATTATAAAACGATGCAAAATAAGTATAATAATAGTAAATAATATCAGCTGTTTTCAGATAAATCCAAGTTTTTCATGGTAATTTCTGCTACTTTCAGCCTAATTAATTTCTTTCTGCTAGTTTCAGCTTTTTCTGCTCTTTCAGCTACTATTGAGCTGTTTTGGTGTGGTTTTTTGGCTTTTTCAGGTAATTCCACCTTTTCCTAGCTCATTTAAACTCATTTCACGTCCTTCTGCAAATTAATGCTTCTTTCTGCATTTTCAACTAATTTTCAGCCTTTTTTTTTTTTGCTTATTTCAGCTTTTTAGTTAATTTCCTAATTTATTTATTTATTTGCTAATTTCTGCTTATTTAAACCTAATTCAGCAAATGTGTGTTCTTTCTGCTTTCTTCTGCTAAATTGGTCTTGCTCTCCCATTTCAGCTACATTTCAGAATGTATTTGAACTCATTTCAGCTGTTTTACAGCAAGTTTTTCTGAAATAAGCATCCACATGGCGATTTCACAGAAAATGCAATTTCTCTAGTTTTATTTTGAAATGATAAACTTTTGATTTAGGTGAAATTTTTTTTTTTTTTTTTTTTTACAGTTTTAGTAACTTTTCTCTTACTTAGGATACAAAGTGTATATATATTTTTTTTAAAAGTGGTGATGTCTGTATGCTCTCTCATAAATTTGGTTGTATGCACACAAAAAGTCCAAAAAAAAAAGCTTATTTGAGTAAAAAGCCAATTTGTTCAATTTGCTAAGTTTCCAGTTTCCTTTAGTTATATACGTTTTGCATTATTTATGTGCTTTTCTCTTTGTTTTTTTATGTTTTCCAGCATAACCAAGTGACAGCACACTACAAAGGCAAGGCATTTAAAACAGGAGTTTTATTCAGATTTATTCATTTTCATCTTTACAACCAGCAATCATGAACTTACGCTTTAATTTTCTCCGTGGTGTCTCGAAGGCTGTCGTGGTCGTTGTCAAAAATAGGTCCAGAGAGAATATTGACGCCATTGTTTTCCTCTGCATAAGGTCTCAGCAGCGTCACCTTCAGGTAATTCCATATCCCTGCACACACAAAACACAATAATTTTACATAAAAAGTAGCGATGCACGATATTATCGGCATGGTACTGTATCAGTCGATATTAGCGATAAAGTTAAATATCGATCATCAGCCATTCCATCAAAATAACTCACCAATA